TGGGACATTTTAAATTAGTCAAGGAGTATATGTTCAAATCCTGGTTTGATAGCTTTTTTTTATATCAACCATTTGCTGGAAACTATCATAGTCAAAAGTATAATGACAATTATCAACTTAGTTCATCCTGTTGATTTGAAGGAGTGCTGTAACCGTAAAACCGATGTTAAGATGTGACAATGTTTATTAAAAGTACGATTAATGATAATTTTAGCAATAGAAAATACAATACGACTGTTGAAAATTGTATAAAGATTCGCAAGAATTGTTCTTAAAAGAAGTGCAGCATGTTCGCTGAAAAATTTTAAATATTAGAACTTCTGTAATTGAAAACATTTTTAAGAGTTATCTAAAACTCAACCAGTTTCATTCAAATACTTTGAGTATACATTGTCGTCACGAAAAAGGAAATAATGTTGAAAAAACAATTTAAGCTTGGTTATACATTACTACATCCAACGTCAAAAATGTTTTCCCCTCAGGTATTACCTTTCTATACCCTGTCACTTCTCACTTTACACCTTGGACATTGACCTAGTATTTGGTTAGGGATTGGCAAAGTCAACAACATCGAATATTCTCGATTGAATATTCAACGTTGTTTTAATAATTTTCTACTTTTAATCTTTTGTCATTTTTTTAGCAACATGCACCGGGTGGATCTTGCTCAAATTGTTCTTCTATATTATGTTTGCCGCTGGTCCAATTATGGTAAAACAACATTGCTTGCATTACATTTCTTCAGATTACATTTTCCCAGCTTTATATTAGTGTAGACTTGTAATTTATTACATCCACTTGAAGGTGCCCGTATAAACCTCGTATCGTTAAAAATACAAGTATTAATTCTAACTGACACAATAATTAGGAAAATAGCCCATTGTGCAATGCAATTAAATAATATAAATATCAAATCACACAGAATGAATTGTATTTGAACTATCAAATTATTTTTGAGAAGCTAAAAACTAACATAAAGTGTACATCAAATGTGTTGTAACTAGAAAGTAACTACAGTCTTTGGCATGAGTTGAGTGTTGAGGTAACGTATCAGAAACGTTGATTATGAGGATGATTTTGCAGCAGTGATTTGGCAAATTCTTAATTCGACAGTGAAAGTAGCAAAGTGTAAACGTTAACAAAAACCGTCCTGAACGCAGACTAATGAGGAAGTCTGTAAGCATTTTAAATGGAAGCTATTGAACTCTATGTAAAGGATCATAAATGAAGTATACCATGTCAATTAAGTAAATAACTTCTTCATTAGCAACTAGCGTGTTGGTGCAGTTATATGGGAAAAGCAGTAAAGTCGTACAACACCATTCCACATATTTACACTCGTCCTATAAACGTTTATTTACGAGAAAAAAAGTAACAATGGTGACCGATTTAAACTTGTCCCAACTGTTATTTTCAATTGTTTAAACTTTTTACAGTATTAATGTTAATGTCAATGTATAAAATAGGGTTGGAAGATGTATATTATCTGTTTTCCTACAGTTACCAAACAATGTACATGTTCTCTCACTGATTTGAGAAAGCAAAGTTGCCAATTCGCTCATCAGTGAGACAATGTTAACATTGTCTCACTCTAATTACTTTGTCTCACTCCAGATTTGTAACGTGATGGCACGAAATAGTGAACGCGTTAATGCAGGCAACGTCGTATGCGCGCGAAATACGTTGGCAGCACTGGCTGTAAATCAGCTGGGCAGCTGTTGTACTATTGTATTTGTCACTTCAAATCTATAATATTAAAACAAAACAGTGTTTTTTTTTATTTCACGATTCTGAATCAACCACTCGACGGATTTTCATGATTTTTGTGTTGAAAGAAAGATAATTTTGAGAACTAGGGAATGTCGAAGCCATAATTTTAGTTTAGGGTCCCAGTTTTTTGGAAATTAAGTTTTAATTTTTTTAAAGTCTAGCAGCCGACGCTAAGATTCTAAACTAGCTTTTGGCATAAAATAATTTGGTTAACATAACAGCTGTAAACATTCAGCTTTTGTGTCACAAATTCAGCATTTGGATAAAAATGTAAAGACATGTTATTAGGGTTGACTTATTTATACTATGTGTAATGCTAATCATTGATACGTTCATTTCTTCTGTAAGAGGATGATAGATTAATTAAATAACAGTAAACTACTAGGATGTCCAAATTATTTTTTAAAGCAATCTTTGTAATCTTCGATTTGTTTTAGAGCAATATAATTTGTTTTAATTAACAGCTGGTTAAATATAAACTATGGAACTATGAGGTTATTTTATTTACTCTTATTTTGTCATTGATTATAGGAAAAAAGTAAAATTAGTAGAGATAATTAGACTACGGTTTAAACCACAATTTTAACCAAAATTAATTAAACCACAGTACAAATCGAGGCTCTGTACACGAGTCTTAATAAAAAAGGATAAATGCAAATTATTTTACTGCTACACTTTTCACGGAAAGATTAGAAAAATAACAATGTTTACACGTTTTAATTCTTCATGGTAGCTTTGTGTTTACAATTAATGTTTGTCTGCTTTAACTTTGTTTGGATTAGGCCCGGAAATATTAATGTCACAAAAAGAAGATCAAGAATAATCAGGAATCACGATTTTAAATTACCAACACAACCTCAGCCGGGTTTTATACAAAGATAAACAGATGGATGACATAGATTGAACACAACGTCAACATTGACCTAGGATACTGCAATTAGACAAACCATCCTTTTATGAAATCGTGTTCAGTTGTGGTTACGTTTGGGGGCGCCTATATCAGCGCCCCCAAACGTGAAAATATCACTTTTATTCCAACCATGAACATCTTGTAGTTTAAATTAACTAATATGGGAAATTACGATGTACATTTATTCAATGAGGGTGGGTAATTATCAAGGATAGAACTAATAACGGTATGGATAATAAACATTGACAATTACGTCATTAGCTTTACTAGCGTGTTTACTTTTTATATTCCTGCTACATGTGACCAGTTTTTTTTTTTCAAATGAATGTAATTTGAACCAAACAGCTGTTTCAAAACAAACTGTTATTGTTTTTACTTTTCATTGTTTACGCTTATTTATTTAGCAATTAATGCAGTGAAATTGATATAATGGATAGGTGTGACGATTAGTTTTGATGTTAGGACACCAAAGTTAAATTATGTGTACTGTTAATTTTATTGGATATTATCGTTTTATTTTAGGTAGTTTCTATTCAGACCTACTGGAAATTTTATATAGTAGTTGTATTGTGGTGATAATAATTATGGAAGAGGCAGGTATCAAGGCCACACTAGCTATGGAAGGTGGTATCGTTGACTAGGTCTATACACTTCTCAATTGACTATTACTCTCTCTACTGTAGGCTACTTATAATCAGTGTGCGTCTGTGTCTGTGCGAATCGGCTGCAAATCTCACTTCAACGCTATTCACATCGTAAAAATTGCAGAATTGATGTTCTTTTGTAAAATTATCGGATTTAAAATGCATATCGTATAGGCCTATGATGGAATAAAAACATATTTGGTCACACAACATTTGTTTACAAGATGATTTTTCACATTAAAACTGCAAGAAACTTTGTCTTTATATGTGTAAACTAGCTGATCTGAATTGTACACGGTTTTACTGACTACTGAATTCCCGTACGTAGGACGGGCTAACACCTCGTTAAATGTTATATTAAAAGTTCACTTCTGTGTAAAAATAGGTTATGTTTCTTCACCAATTTATTAGTTTTATGGTAACAGTAGGAAAAGTATAATGTGCAACTCGAGTGCAAAGTACAATTGCCTCACTCTAGAAACCAAGTGAGTCAATTGCTCACTTTTCTCACTAGTTGCACAAATAACTATTGGATTAAGTTCTGTCTCTAATTGTTTGCTCTTCGGAATAAAAAACATAATGATATTAGGAATACTATGTGCACATGGTAGCCTACTCATAAAATAGTGTATGTGATGTACATTTACAACAGTTTGTTGGTTAAGTAATTGTTTTGAAAGAGTGCAAAATGATTGGGGTAAATAATATTTTTTCTATGCTTTAACCTAGGACTGTTCTTCACGTTACTTCAGGCTAGGCCAAGAGGTTGCAGCGTTATCACTTAGCTTAGATCAAATATGGTTGCCAGGATATGAATTCGAGTTGAGATTTCGGGGACTGAAATCTCACGTTGACGCCCTTGATATTGGGATACATAAGAAAAACATGAATCGGGTAAATTATGTTTCGAGTACAATACTATACAAAAGGCCCGACTTTTACATGGTATTAATATAATAAGTGGCCTTTATAAAAAAAAAAACAAATACCCTACTTAAACTCACATATTTTATGCATTACATGAATATTCAATTATAAATGCAGTAACAAGCATTAATAATGAATTTTTGAAATTGTTATATACTAAAATTAAATTAAAATGTATCAACGAGCCTAACATTTCAGTCAATGTTTCGTTCCCATGAAAGTCCTATCCAACCAAATGTATCATTTATTTATGTGTCGTGTGTCAAGTGTCATGTGTGTACCAACAACGAAGCTATACAAGCGGATGTTTTAATGTACATTCCTGGACTGTATGCTTGACAATGGCATCTCGCCGAAACATGTAGAATCTATGGAAGTTACAATTTGGAACTGACGACAGGTAATAAAAAAACCAATATTAGTTAACATTACAGCTATCACTGTTATGCTCCGACGATGCAAACAGCTTCCGGGTCTTTTGAAACAAACAAAGTGATAAAAGGCGAATTCAGCTTTCCATTGGCCAAGAGGAGTCGATAATCGATAGTCGAAGCAAAAAAGATGGACAAGTAATAAACAAGGGTTAACGAAGCCTGAGTTTCCACCGTTTCGGTCGATCGGAGCCGCGCCGTCCCCGACTGACGGTTTTCCGGCCAGCTTTCCACGGGAGAAAGGCTCGGTAAAAGTGTTTGTAGAGGTGCGATATCAGTTGCAGTCTGTAGCGCCGGCGAACTGGTTCTAACTCGGGACTCGGGAGTGAACGTCGTACGTGGTGGACGCGGTCGCTCGTAGTGCGTGCGTTTGTTGTTCAGTGTTACAAAACTGTAGAAACACCTTAAATGTAGCACAATTTAGGATAGTTTGTGATGGAATAAATTTCAGACATGTTGGGAAAAGGAGTAGAAGTGCGATGGGCCTGTAATTTTAGTCAGTACTTTTGCCTTTTGCTTTTTTTAGTTCAAATTCAGTGTCAGGTGATAAGGAAAAGTGTTGAGTTGCCTGTGAAAGATTACCTATCAGCCCCGCAGCGGAACAGGGATGGTAAGGATCATATTTATGCCCAAGGAAGTTATATTGATGGCTTTCGAAATTTTGAAGTTTTGTCTCCCCACACACCTGCGTCGGCCTTGATGTTCGCATCTTTGGCTAAAAGTGGGAATAGTCCTACATTGTTACCCTTAAGCTCACCCATTAATGATCCAGTGACAGCTTTGTTCAAACCTACGGTTTCTACCGTTAACCCTCCTGACTTGAATAAACGGACAGATAAAGCAATTGATAGTTCATTTTCAAGGAAAAAATCCACATCGATAGACTTACTAGAAGATGGCCTAAACAAAGCGACTAAAGGTTATTCTTTTTCTTATACTGAGCCTTTATCAGATAACGGTAAAGAGGCTAGTGTGCAAGAAGCCAGTCAAGAGTTCATACCGGTTTATAGTACTCCATTACCACTTTTGTATTTTAACAATGGTGATGCTGTGCGCTATTCAGACAAGTTATCTAGTATTTCCCCTTTAGATTATGGGGGAATCGAAGGACGGAATATAGATAGTAGTTCTGGATTCAATCCATACCCAGTCCCTACACCGTCACAATACAATGGACCTAGATATGAAGAAGATTTTCGTAATACTGCTCAACGACCATATTCTACACCTACCTATGGACAAAACGATCAATCAAACGAATATTATGATTATTTGAGTAGAGAGAAAAACTATGAAATTCTAACATCTAGTAATGAGGCTATACCACTAAATAAAGAAAAAAGTGGGAGGGAGTACTACAACTATTCAAGTAGAGAGATCCCCTATGACATTCCGTCATCTAGTAACGAAGCCATCCCAGGAACACGGGGGAAAAGTGTACCAAAACATTCTAACGAAAATCCACAGGAGGTTAGGAAATATAATAATCCTGAACAGGGAAATTACAATTCTCAACCTAGACAAAACTATAACACTAACCAGGCTCCTTACGTCCCTCCAACGATTGGTGTCATAGGGTGGAAATCAAATACTGACCATGAAACTACTTGGAAACCAACAAAAGCTTTGATGAACATGGCTGACCACCACATAAAAGAGGACATGAAAAATAAAGGAAATTCTTATATTTCCACAACACCGATACCACAAACAAATGAAGCAGTAAATGGTAATAAGGGACAAGGTAACTACGAAGAAACTCAGGAGGCTGAGGAAGAGGAAGAAGGAGAAGAAGAGGAAGAGGAAGAGGATGAAGATGGAGAAGATGAAGAAGAAGAGGAAGAAACTGAAGGGGAAGAAGATGAGGAAGAGGAAGAAGAGCCAGAGTCTGGACCCGAAGAAGAGAATAACAACGCAGATAGTCCACCGTCGAAGTACCCATATTCGGCGGAACGTCCCAATAACCCTTCATCATACCAACATGAAAATGGACCTCACACTGGCCATCCTGCTAGATATGAAAACTCTGCAGAGACATACAGAGATCCACCTTCTTATCCCCCACAAAGCTATCAACAATCTGGAGAGTACTATGAAGAACCTTCCCTACGTCCACCTTACGAGTATGATAATTCCTCTCCTAGCTCTAGGGAACCACCTACTCAATCGCATCCCGATTACGAAAACTCTGTTGAGAATTACAGTCCTTCACCAAAATATCCTCCTAAATATGAAAACTCAGCAGAATATCCCGAACGTCCCGTCCAGCCCTCCTCAAGCTACGACAAATCACGTGAATATTATAATTCCAGAGAATCGCCTAATGAACAAAGTAACAACAGTCCTCGTCCTTATACAGAAGAGCTGCCGTACCAAAGTGCAGAATATTCTTATGATGGTCAACCCCTACCACCAGGACCACCTTATAACCCACCATCGTACGCCCATGATCCTCGCAGCAAAATTGGATATCTTCCACCTCCTTCGTCTTACCAACCGGTCTCTTTCCCCATAGATCTAGGAGTTCGCCAAACATGGACACCCATCATACCTATTGCGAGATCTGCAAACAAAGAAGAAATCAAAAACGTTCCAGAGTACAAGTCTAGTAACGGTCGTTGGTTATTAAATGGAGGTCCTATTATGAAGAATAACTTAGCGGAGACCAACTCTGAACTACCAAGTTGGGAAGAGTTTGGCAAAGACAAACGTTCAAATAATGTAGGAGGCACACAAAAGAAAGTTAAAAACCTTCATGATGACAGAAATAATAGTAGAGAAAACCTTGTGAAAAGGGAAAAGCAGGAGAATAAAACTCATAAAAACCATCAAGATGGTAAGAAGTCAAACGAGGACCTTTCAAAAGAGAGAAACAATTCTGAAGAATCTGTAAATGAAAGGAACAACTTTAAAACGTCCAGGGAAGTTTCTGACCCAGACTATAATCCACCACCTCCACCGCGTGATCTCGACGAAGATCGAATCAGAAACCATGTGAGCGACAGGGAGAAACCTCGCAAAGTTCCTACACGTCTTCGCTACCCTGGAGGAGGACTTTGGGCCAAACCTCCCCCAGAATCTGGCATAGACCTTGGGTTCGTGCCCCAGAAAGTGTACACACAGACCAGGAAACACAACGTGGTGAAGCATCTTCCAAGGGAGGCGGCTCTTCAGGCTGCGTCTACAGCTGAGGAGGTCATCAACGCTCCGAGGCTGCGTGAGGTTGTCAGTCATAAGAAAGTACAGGAGGTAGGTGAACAACATTTATCCTCTCTCTGCACAAGTATGCGTCTAGAAGAATTCAGTGTTATAATAACAACGTGAAATAAATATTACATTTTCTTTATATCTTAATGTTATTGATGAATGTAAAATGTTAAGGGTGTATGTATCCATGTTTTAGTACAAACTTTGTAAAAATGTTCTACTGGAAAAGTTTAGTCAATCCAATTACAACAAAAACCATTTGGTCCGAATTAAACATATGAGTTGATAACATGGATTAGTAAAACTTAATATTAATAAGTAACTCATAATGATTTAGCTAATAAAACTCTAGGTTCTTTGACTCAAACTCATCAAAACTAATGTAGAGTAGATGGTGTTGGTGTTAGATGGAGAGTTTATTTTGAAGTTGTTTCCAAAGATAGTCATAAAGGCAAGTCCTTAAGAGAGTGACATAATCATAAACAAAGTTTCATACTTTCCATAATATTAGCGTTGGTAAATTAATCAAACTATGTAACTGAATAATTAGCCTGTTGGGGTTAACTCATAGCGCAATGATTCCCTGTGCTCCGAGGTAAAAAGAAAATCTTCATCCTGAGCCACTTGGAACATTTTCTTTGAGATCATTTCATGAAAATCACAATTGACCGAGAAACGCCTCTCGCCCAATTCACCAAAGACCGGGTAATGATTGCAAGTTGGATAACATCCTCAGTATGTAATTTCCCCGTCTATAATCACCGAATTGGACAGCGATTATTTCCGGTAGTATAACATCCAACACCGTAACCAACGCAACGGAAACTCCATATCGCGACAGCTTCCTCGATCCATCGAACATTGATCTCGACCGTGACCGGCGACCAGGCATCGCAATCGATTAGTCGGTTAATCGTTCGACCGGAAGTTGTCTCAATATCACGTGATTTTTCCTGTCTTTATGACGATTTGTTTTTGCATTGTTTATATAAAATAAATATCTCGCATGTGTGGTCATTCGGGTATACTGTATTATCTGTTGTTTTATTGAGTGTACTTTGGTGATACAGTACTACAGTAATTACTTATTAACATTTAAAATCCTCTAAGATGTTTTAGGTCTCATTTGAAGTCTACTATCTGTATAGGGTAATAATGGTTGGAGTGAGCATGTTTGATGACTCCATGTAATGATTGTAATAAAAAAGTTTTAGCAGATTTATGAAAGGTATTTGGTAATATATGTTACTCTCTATGACTTTTGCACTTCTTTATTTTAATTAGACACTCTGAAATAGCCTCATGCCGTGATAGGTATGACACATAGTAGAGCAAAAAGATGGTAAGAAAATTATAGGAGAAAAAATCTTATTTACATATTACGCTTGCAAGCCTACTATAGAAACATAAATATTTAGTAGTAGTGGATCGGTTGGTTGGATTCAAGGCTAAATGGTTCACGACTAGCGATTATACTCTTATCCCAGAACATTGCATTCAGGAAAAATATTTTATTTTCATTTGTCTTTTACCACGAAATAAAAGCCAAGCTACACGAATTGGATTCTTGGATGTCCCCATAGTTATAAATGCAGGTACTGTAGCTATAAGGTCGTCGATTGGTTATACAGTAATGCTTTTCTTCAAATCGGAAGTTTGCTGGTTTGATCTTTTACAAGACAAATAATTATGACACAACCTTTCGGACGAACCCCAAGGCGTTTTTACATTTTAAACCATATGTATTCGTAATAATATATTTTTTTTATAAGAAAATGCTTCTAGTTAATATTTAGCCGAGTAATTAAGTAATTACACTATTTTTTATCAACAATTCATATGATTTTTGAAGAAAATAGCTGTATAATGTAGATTTTGTTAAACTTATTATTGTTATAACTTTTTTGTTAGTTAAGATACAACTTTTTACCCAATAACCTTTTCTATTGGCCATATCTTTTGGATTAAAACTACGTTTTAACCGATGTCCTATCTCGTACCGTTATCGAGCTACAGTCGTTTCAATGCATAGCGCGTTCCGCCATCTTTGCCCCCCTTCCCCCAAGTTCTCGACCACCTGAAAAGTAGGCGACATGCGTATTTGTTATCACCACAGTCCATATTAAAACTATCAGCAAAGATATTTGATATTACTTCTTTGCGACACTCACAAATTAATTCTACTTTCTGTAAAAAAATACCCCCGCCGCAGCAAACCTGCCGTCTAAGCGAATTTCCATTTGTCCGAATTGATTTTCAATTGATCTATTTAAATAACATTATTAGGTTTAACGAGTACCTAGGTTTGCTGCTACAAGGAAACTAATAAAGTAGTGTGTTTTTAGTAAAATATTGATAGCTTACTATAAAATAAATAAATTTGCCAACTTTGATCAAAATATATCCATAAACAAGCAAACTTCAACATTTTACAATATTCTCCATAAGAATAACATGGGAATTTTAAATTTACCATTTTTTAGTTTTCTCCGTAACCAATAACCGTACAAAAACACTTTGATATACTGAATTGTTTGTTTTTTTAAGCTCTTTAAGAAGGTTTAGAGAAAAATTGGGAAATTTTGTGTTTTGAGGGTAAAAAGTGAGAAAAACCCATTTTTACCCCATAAAACCCCCTATAAAACCCTGTTCCCATGGTCCGATCATGCTGGATCGCGAACTCATTCAAGTTTATCCCGCCTTACACTTTCAAACCAAATTTCATCAAAATCGGATAAAAATTACTCAAGTTATCGTGTTCACGGACACATATATATATATATAAATCTATATATATACCTATATATATATATATACATATATAAAAATTTGAACAAATGGTTTTTTTGGCCTCTGGGGACATTAAAATGAAAAAGTAAATCGGTCCCGGGCCTAAGTCTTACCATGAGACCTACGGTAATAGCTACTTCCCTATAGGGAAATTCGCTAAAAACTACACGAAAAGTCCATTTTTACATATTTTATATAATAACTTGTTTATTTATAGAGATATGACCTCGGACTCAATAACCATTATTGTAGTCCACATTTTTAGAATTACAACGACGTTTTAACCGATGTTCCATCTTTTACCGTTTTCGAAATATAAGCGTTTTAACACATAGCGCAAACCGCCATGTTTGCCCCCTCCCCCCCACCTTATCAACCACTTTTGAAATAGGCGACATACGTAATTTTGATCACCACAGTCCATATTAGAATAATCAGCAATAACATTGCGTACTACTTTCATGCATGCTCAACCCCCCTCAGCTCCTGGACTATAATAAATTGCCTGGTATTTTTTTGAAAACAAAAATCGTTATTATTGATTGATTTTATTTGACCTATTAAAACATTTCCCCGAGTTGGCTATTTAATTACAGGATACCCTGTATATTGTGGCATTATAGTGAGTGTATAAATTAATAAAAGCGTGTACGCTGTTTTGCAGAATGAGTCACTTGAGATATTTTAAGTTGTTAGCTTAAGTCGAAGCCGAGTCATTCTCTGAAGAACTTGTGAGAACAAATGTTCAAATCACTAAAGAGCGATCAGACAGAAAACTGACCATTTGAGAATAATTTTTTTTTACAGTGTTCTATGATTGTTTTCAACTAAAAAAACAAAAACTCTAAGCATGTTGGAGGAGTTCATACAGACTCCATTTTTCCCCTAAAAGTTTTCTTCTTTAAGTTGACTGTGCTCATGACTAACTGGATACCTAAAAATAGGCTTTACCTTCGTCACTGCAGCTCAAATTCTTGTTGTGTAACTATGTTACGGCCGTTTCGGCATTATAATGCCATCGTCAGACTACAAAAACACAAACTCGGCTGAAGTAGCGTCGTTGAAGTTTAAACACGTAACACATACGAACAATAATTAATTAATTAATCAATAATTAATTATTGTTCGTATGTGTTACGTGTTTAAACTTCAACGACGCTACTTCAGCCGAGTTTGTGTTTTTGTAGTCTGACGATGGCATTATAATGCCGAAACGGCCGTAACATAGTTACACAACAAGAATTTGAGCTGCAGTGACGAAGGTGAAGCCTATTTTTAGTTATTATACAGCTCAGGGGCTAAAACATGTATTTTAACTGGATACGTTCTACGTTGACCATGGATGCCTTCTACATCCTCTAGTTGTTCGAAGCTTGTAGATTTACAGATTAAATTCATACAACCAATGCAATATGCATTTCTGTGGTACTTCTTTTACAGACATTCATGATTCATTAGTATTGATTAGCAAAAATTACACGATTTCACACAAGAAAAATGTTTTAGCAGTTTAAAAATGTTCAACAAATCCCAACAAAGTCTTGTAATATTATACAGATAGATAAGGATATATTTTTAACCCGGAAACGCTCGCTGGGTGCACTTTTGTTAGTTTTGAACAAAGAGTCCCAGTAATATGGAACATGGAAATCCTGTGACATTATAACACACGTTGCACAAGAAAATCACGCGTGTGCTTCAGATGGAACTAACTAGGTTAGGAGACTGTGACGTAACATGATACGGGATGGAACAATCTTAGTCTCGTTGTAGATTGAGATCGTAAGAGAGAACACAAAGATATGGGTGTTGTAATACTGAGGAATTCCGCGATGAGTTTAGTATATACATTTTTTATAACTTGTAAATGTGAGCAACCAAGAGGAATTTGATTGAAAAGAATTTGATGAAAAAGAGAATGAAGTGCTTTGAAAACTCATCCATTAGTTTTTGCCAAGAAGAAATATACCTATTTTATGTAATTTGTTGCGTAAGAAACCTTATGTTAAACGAAAAATCTGTTTTTCAGGGTTACATTGTAAACATGTTTAGAATCAAGTGATTTCCGCTGATGATTTAATTTTCTTTTTTTTATATTTACAGTACATTTACAAATGTAACCTACTGTAATGTACTGTGTTAATTTTGGGTATGTAGGCCTAGGTAATATTAAGTTTTCTCTCATTATTTCTGTACATGGCTAACTTTGAATCAAAATGGATACAATAAAGCTCTGCACAAAACGAACAAAA